ACAAAAAACAGTGCGTCAAAGGTGAGAAGGGGATGAGAAAGCCTGCAGACTTGGTCTGTCTTCTCCTATCTGCAGCTGCTCTTCTAAAATTTAATAGTATTACAAACAATTGGAATAAGAATGCTTTTTGCACTGATAGGTTTCTAGATTGGTTATGCATGTAGTGTGTACATCAACAGCTCAGCTCTGACAAGCAGTTGTACAGAGAGGTAATAAGTACATGCATGGCCTTTAGGTAGCTCACTTGTATTTGTGGTGCCTTGTCTTGTCTTTGTAATATAAACCAAAAAGAAATGGTCTTCACTGTAAGGTCTAAGATCATAGTTTTATGCTGTTATTACTGAGACTATTTTATTATTGACAGGTACCGTGAAAAAGCAAAGAGGGATATTGCTGCTGTGGGTAGCCATGCTGCTAAATTGTTACAGTCCCTAGGAAAGGTAACTACAAATATATGGCATTTCTAACAGGACATAAATATTTTTCTTTTGTTCTGTACAGCTCTAAGCCAAAAGAGACAGATAAGAGCTTAATTATACAATTCTTTGAAAGTGCCCAAGTAATTTCTAATGATGTTTATTATCTGTGGTTTGTTTTATCTATCACTTTCGACCTAGTCTTATAAAATAAAACCAAAATACACAGATGTCTGCACTATTCACCGATCAAAGAACTTGTTTTACAAAAGCGAATAGTTATTTCACAGCTAGTGTGTTAATGTCTCTGAAAACACGGCGTGTTTGGCCACTGTATGTACTGTGAGAAGTATATTCTCTGTTCTAGGCGCCCGAATCAATTTCGGAGAGAGAGCTGAAATTACTTTGTGAGTATGCTTGGATTCCATTGCAGTGATTATGAAAATAATGAAATATTCAGAAATGTGGATGATCGTGGAGTTACTAAATGTTACCTCAGTATTTGAGCTTTCCAAGTGTTTGCTGAGCATTTGCATCCCTCATCTTCAGTGGCGGTAATATGTTAGCGTGTTTCAGTAGTGAGTCTACAAGGACTGGCTTTAAAACAGATGCAGTACTTTTCAGGTCCAAATGTCAGGCAGCAGGTTGCCTCTGCTTCCTGTGATTAAATACCTCATTGCTCATGTGCAATACAAATGTTAGAGTGTGAGCTCTATAAACTTCTTGTAGTCTGTAAAGATAAAACAGGGATGTAGGGAGGTGTACTGCTCATGGCAGTTCAGGTCATCTGTGTTGAGCATGCATGTGTGACCACACAGCAGCCTGAATCATCTTGCAACTGGAAAACTTTCCTGTAAGCATGCCACCAAGAGCATGCTGCAGTGATTGATCTTTTGCTATGCTTTTTGAGTTCTGGGTAGTAACTGCACATTGGGTTGGTTTGTTGCAGTAATGCTGGAGGAGAACCTTTTTACTGCTTATTCTCAATTCAGATTCTAACAGTACAGCTATATGTTAGATAGTGGAAAATAGAGAAACCATGTTTGTTTTCAGCATGGAAGAGGGCAACGTGAGCCCGATGGCTGTGGTGGGTAAATTACTGTAAAGGAGATGCACACACTGTGGGCTGTTAAATTAACACAACAGTTATGTTTAGAATCCAGAACCAAATAAGCAAAAAATAGGTCTTAAGTGCTTGTAAATCATAGATGTAAATGTTCTCTAATACTTAGTAGTTTGAGCTACCAGAAGAAACAGAAGTGTCAATACAATGATTAGTTTTACTCTTTGATTTTAACACATCAGAGATATGCATTCATAGATTCAGTAATTGTTGACATATTCAATAAGCAATGCTCTTTTTTTTGCACCTTCTGCTTAGGCAGCAACTCAGCTTTTCTTCGTGTAGTGAGATGTAGATCTCTGTCTGAAGAATATGGTTTAAACACTTTTAATAAGGATGAAATTAGTAAGTACTCCTTCTTGACACGTACTTTAATTGCTTTTTCAACGTGTATGGTTTGGTGATCAAAGTGAATTATGTGTTACACATACTATTTCTTTATGCAGATTTATAATTTGCCATCCACTGGAATTGTTTTGTCAACTCCAGAATGTTGATTTAATTCTGATTTTTGAAAAGTTCAAAGATGACCTTACAGATCACTGTAGGTTTATTCTTTATTTCAAGTTTTATTTATGATAGCACATAGTTTCTAAGGCCCCCTAAATAAAACACTGTTTCTTTAAAATTCTCTTTTCTGTGTATCAATTATTTCTGACTGAGCTGGAATGGTGCTTTTGCCTGACCGAAGATTTAGCAATAATTATCTCAGCCTTTCACAGTTTAGATTTGCAATATGAAGATATAAATGAAATAGAAATGTAGTTACTTTATAACAATTCATTATATATTTTTGGAACCTGCATAAATTAAAAAAAAAAAAACTGGAAATTTTTTACATTAAAACTTGTTTTAGATGAAGGCCTTGCAAGTCCTCTAGGGCTTCTGGACAAAAAGTTACACACATGTATAAACTAAATGCATATGTAAGCTTTGCAGTATTCCTCATTTTGGTAAAAGCTCCTTGAATTAGATGATAGTATCTAATGCAATTTAAGAAGCAGTTATTGCTTAGGTTACTAAACTATGTGTTAAAGACCTGTGTGTTCTATAATTAGACATTATTATTTGTGAAACATGCATTGCAAAGCCTGAAACTACAGCTTATGAGTATCCCAACTGACACAGCAGCTGGCAGTTAAAACATGAATATCTTCACTGAACAGAGTTTATATCAAATATGTACAGCATGACTTTGTCACATGAAATCTATCAGCTGACCCATTTATATTCCCAGACAAGATTTTTCAAGATTTCTGCTTACAACAGAAAATGTATCTAAGGGAAATACTTGATTTCGGGTAATTAAGACCCTGCCTTTTGCTTTATAATACCAGCTAACCACTTCTCTTGCTGTTTTCAGTTTCTAACATGGATAACCCGGACAGTGAAGTAGTGTTGTACTTGATGCTACGGGCTGTTGATAGATTTTATAAGCAGCATGGTAGATATCCAGGTATGTTTATACAAGCTATGTTAGTGCTTTTATAAATATAAAAGTCCAGTAGTTAATACAATACTAGTTAAAAACTCCATGTAAGACACTTGTTGTTTTTGTATTAACGCAACTTTAATAATGCACAAATTATCTTTTTTGGGGGGGAAATTTAAATTGATACAACTGAAGTGGTTTATGAATTAATTTAGCTTCACAGCAATTTGTTATTATTAAGAGGAGCACCAATAGAATGATTAAATGCTAGTCTACTATTGCTAATATTAGTTGGCTTCTTTTCTTTTTCTGAAAAATCTCTAGTTAAGCTGTGTTTTAACCCCAATAATTTTGAATATAGTATTATAGTTCTGTGACGGAATGGTGAATTTATTTTCCAGGTGTCTACAACTATCAGGTAGAAGATGATATTGGAAAACTGAAGTCATGTCTTACTAGTTTCTTACAAGAGCACGGTTTGTCTGTAGTGGTGAAAGATGATTATGTTCATGAGTTGTAAGTATAATACCATAAGAGCCACTTTGTAAAACTGACCTGAAAATACTAACTGTTACTTTGCTGTCCAGTTGTCGATATGGAGCTGCTGAACCACATGCTATTGCTGCCTTCATGGGAGGTAAGAATGCTGTTGTGTTTCTAAGGCCCCCTAAATAACAAAGCAAACTGCAGCTGTACCTCCCTCCTTTCCTTCAGAATCTGTTTAAGCCATGGGCTTGTCAGAGCTAATACTGGTATCATGGACTGTAGACAAAGTCCTTTGTTCTTTAGCTATGACTCCTGCTGGCAATGATTTAGAGTCAGTAAAAGAAACCAAGTAAACTAAAAACAATCCAGATGGATTGATTACAGTTTATTAATAAGAAGGCTTTTTTTAAAAAAATTGTCTGGAAAAGGCTTTCTTTAAGGAATTACTTTAAAATAATTTTAAAATCTGATATTCATAGTAATACCAAATTAATTACACAATTTTAAAGGAAAATGTGTACAGAGTTAGTTCTGTGTTAAGTACTGGTTAAATATAAATAACCGTTACCATTCACCTTAATACCTGCAGATTGAATTATCTAAACAAAATGTTTTGACTCGTACATCGCTTCTGGGTGATCTGATTGATGTGATGCAGTACCAGAAGTGGTTACTTTAAATGCAGTGTAGATTCGGAACTTCTGATGAAGCAGAAGTGGATATGTGTGGTGCTTTAGGGAAGTATGTAAAGATACTTATTTTCTGAAGAAATCACAAAATTCGTTCTTCCTACAGTGGAGCATGAAGTTGATAGTGAAGTGACCCTTTATTTTTACACTGTAACTGTTGAATTGACATATTTGAGTGGAACTCTAAAAATAGGAGTTTCCAGTGTCAGTCCTTCGGGAATCACAACTTGTGTGTGTTTGTTTATGCCTGTACGTGGCTGCTGTGTAGATCCGTGCCTGGAGACACGTGTGTACAGCAGAGCTGAGGCTGTCAGAGCTCTCAGAGCTGGGGTCAGCGTGCAGGGTGCAAATCTTGTCTTTGTGGGGTTTCAAGTGACCTTGTAACTATGTGACCTTTTGCTGTTGTTTTTTTTTTTTTTTTATAGGAGCTGCTGCTCAGGAGATCATTAAGGTCATCACGGGGCAGTTTGTGATTTTTAACAACACCTATATTTACAGCGGGATGTCACAGACGTCAGCCACTTTCCAGCTGTAGGGTGACCATATCCGCTCGTTGCCACCGAGCGGTGCTACAGCGCTGGTGCGCCACGGGGCGGGCCGTCGGGCAGATCCCGCACACTGAACTCCTTGGCTGTCACGTTTTGTTGTGTGTTTGTTTTTTTTTTTCCCTGAGGACGAATAAAATTATCCCAAATCCTAACTGGAGCCGCAATGCAGGCCGGGCGCCGGCTGGGCGGGCGGGCGGGGCGGGAACGGCGCGCGCCGCGAGCGGGCGGCTCTCCTCAGGCGGGCGGCGGCGCGGGGCGGGGAGCGGGCGGTGCCGCCTCCATGGCGACAGATAGCTGAGCTGTAAATGGGCTGCGGGGCTGGCTGCTTTCGTCGGGTTGGCGCTGATATTTTTCAGAGCCGTTGCTCTACTTCGAGAGCGACAGCTAATCTGTTGTTGGGCTGGTTTTATTGCTGCTGAAAAGTTTCCACCTGCGGCTGGGCCATTGCTGCGAGCTTTGAGTCGGTGACTGCGACGCTCGCATCAGCCGTTCTTCGCGTGTGGGACTTGGAGCTCGGTTAAGGAAAAGGGCACGATCCGCCTGAGTGCGCTCGGGCTCCTGGGCCGCGGTTAGCTGCGGCTGCCCTTCGGCTCATCCCAGCACACCGCGGGTCGCGGCCTGGGATAAGCAGCAAGAGCTGCCAACGGGCCTTGGCTGCCGTTCTGCTTCCTGAGCGGGTGTAGCGCTGAGTGCTGCGCCCGGATCACGAGTGGAGTGCGCCAGGTTGATGTAGAAGCACTGCTGTGGGTATTTTCATTTTACATATTGTGTGTGACTCCAGTGAGCTAAGATAAAGTCTTAGTGTAGGAAATACTTCTCCTGCTCGTTACTGCCTTTGTTTTTGGTACTAAGAAAGCAGTGCAGTTTTGGCTTAGTGACGGTAGGAAGGAGGTGGTTTGTATTGGATGTCAGATGTGGTTATGTAACGTTATCTGGTGATCTCACTGCTTTTTGGCTGATGGCAGAATTGGCAGCCTGCTGTAAGCAAAATCTGAGGAGATTTACTGCAGTAAATGGCAGCACTGGGTATATTTGTTTTAATTGTAGGTGGGTTCTTTGAGCAATTCCACACTGCCATCGTAGGTCACTAGGTTGCTGCAAAACTAACTTTGAAAGCCATTGGCGTAACATAGTAACTATAAATACTGTCCATATGAAATAGAGCATTTCTAAAGGAAGGCTCTGCCATGCAAGGCTGTATTAAACTCTGTGTCAGATGATAGCATAAAATTTGAGAGCTGTAAAATTGTGTATTTTTAAATAGCAATAAAAAGTTATTTAACTTACACTCTGTACAATGCTACAGACACTGCTGATTTCAGCAAAAAGAAAATGCTTTTTCCTTGCAGTTGTGGAACAAGAACAGGGATGCAATAAAAAATGGAAAATCAAAAGGTGCAAAAACCACAATGTGGTAAGATACCTGAAATCATTTTCCTTTATTACCTAAATCTATTTTACAAAGCTTTAGTAGGTTGTGACAAGACTTTCCAGGGAGGGTGAACTGTTAGAGGGAAATGTTCTTTTTTCCTTGTCAGACTTTAAAATTCTTGCCTTGTTCAAATGATAAATACTGTTACCACAAAGTCACTTTCCTGCTAATATTTACCCATGTTTTTCTAGTATTGTAACTTTTTAAAGAAACCCACAGCTGTGCAGGTGCTTCAGATATACAGTATCTGCTGCTGCCAAGTTACTAAATAGTCATTAAATGAGTCATTACATTATAGCAGAAGTCTAAGAAACAAGTTATCATAACCATTTATCTCTTTGGGGTTGTATGTAGTTGCCCCTTTTCCCAAATGCTTTGTATTAACCTACTGACATAAGCACCTGAGTCAAGGTGCTGCCTCTTGTGCAAGTGATTCAGTCTTTAAATAAACACCAGGTAGCAAGCCTTGGCATCTAGCTTAATCCTCCTGGATTCTCTTGGTAATGCACTCAGATTATCATGACTCTGTATTATTCACTAAATATACTTAATGCATCTTGCAAGTGGAAAACATACTATTTAGTAACTTATATCCCATTTACTAACAATTATTGATATTTACAATAAGGTAACAGTGAAAGACCAGAAATATTAAAATGAGGCTGCCTTTTTTAGCAAAGCAGTGTTCAAATAACTAACTATAGGTCATGATCAAATCACTGTAGATAGGGATGTCTATAGTGGGATGTAGGTTATGCTTGCTATGTATAGATGTATAAAAGTGCTTTTCTTGTGTTTTTTTTTTTTTTTTTGTTAGATTACATATCCATGCTATGTTTTGGGGAAGTTTTACTTTAATACAAAATGAATTTATATGAAGAAAACATAACGCTTCATGTGAAACTTCCTTTTTTACGTTTAGATATGAAAACAGATTTGAACTTACTGCTTGAATGCCTTAAATACCAGATGGACTGCCCTTCATCCCAGAAAGAGGCTTTGATCACTATTTATTCAATTTGTCAACAAAATAGTAAGAACCATTTTTCCCTTGGAAACAACACAGCCATTTTCATTTGCAATGTATGTTAAGAAATTGTTTGTTACTGTGGGCAGAAAAAAAACATTAGCCAAAGGACATAAGACTGGAACTGTAACATCTTAAGATTTTCTTCTTGCACGGTAACGAAAATAAAATTAATTTTTTTTTCTTTCCTGTTATAGGTGAAGCTTGTGAATATTTACGAGAAATTGGTGGTTTGGGGTTTATAAATGATCTTGCAAAGTCAAGTGCTCATGGCATAGTGAAGGAAGCAGCTTTATTTACACTAGGAATCATAATAGAGAGTAATGGTAATAAACACTACTTCATGTATTTCCAAGTTGGCCATGATAATGTTATATTGTGCTTTGTCCCTATCTTTTTGCATCAAAAATCATGTTACAGAATAACAAGTTAATGTGAAAGGCAGCAAATGTGTTGCTATTTCACTGACCACCCCAAGATTTGAAGAAATGGGGTTAGGGTTAATATATCTGTCTCTATGGGATTTATGTAGCCAGCTTGTCTGTATGACAACAGGCAGCTCTGCTTCCTCATTAACAAATGTAATGACATGCAGACTGTTCCAAAGTTTGCCTGGGACTGAGGTAATTTAGAACTGATGGCAGGAGGAAGCCCTGAGTCCCTTTGTGGGCCTGTTTTGACTCTGCTCACCGTGTACTGGATACAACTGAGCATCTATTTACTGTATTAACAAACTAATTAATGACTGTGAATAGTTTGCTTTAGGAGTTAATGGTTTTTGTTTTCTGGTTTCAGTTTACTGCCAACAAACTTTGTGTTCTTCTGCATTATTTGAGGACCTCATTTCATTTTTAATGAATAAGGATTCTGGTGTGAACTTGAAAAGAATGTCTGTTTATGTCATCTTGGCACTGGTTTCAAATAATAGTAAGTGTTTTTTTGTTATAACACATATTTTACTCACATTTTCTTTTTATGTTTTCCAATGTGTGTGATGGAAATTTGGAACACTTAGTAATGTTTTTGTAAAATCAACTTATCAGGTTGCATGTAGATCAGACGTAGCTGTAGAATCATTTAGGTTGGGAGAGGTCATCCATGTAAGTAAAATAAATCTAAGTAAATTGTTGCTCACTGGGATTTCCTTAAATAGGAAAAAATATTGTAGTTTAACAACGTGATTATAGTTTTTAAAAAATTAAACCAGTGGTTTCTGACAATGTAGAAAAAGTTAAGCATAGAATAGAAATGCATTTGCCAATGTTTGTGTGATCCTCTGTTGAGAGGGTTGAATATGCTTAGGCAATGGAGGACTTAAATGCAAGTTAGATTTGACACTAAGATTTTGTTGCATTCTGCTATGTGTTCACTTTCAGAACTTGGCCAAACCTATGTCAGAGAAACAGGCTGCATTGATCTGCTGCTGCAGTTATTCAGGTAAACAAACAGCTGTTTTAAAGCAGGAAAAGCAATAGAGCAGTTAGGACTTGTTTTCTTTGTTTTCTTAAACAGAACAACTCTTTCCACACCTGAGCTGAATCTGTCAGATGAAAATACAAATAGCTGCTACCAGCTGTGGTGTTCAGTCTGTAGCACTCTCTGTGCCTGTGTTAACAATCCTCAGAATGGTAAGTGCTGCTGTTTAAAAACTGTGGTAAATTATAAGTTTTGTTCTCGTTTTTACTGTTCAGCTGAAATTGCACATTATGCTTGGATTTGAGGTTATTTGTTTTTACTTTCCCAGAAGCTAATCAAAAGATTTGCTGTTCAGTCTTTCCGTATGCAAAAGAGTGGCTAGAAAGTTGCATGGAGCCTGAGATAGTTCGTCCTATTTGTTCATTTGTTGGCCTCACGGTTGCAAATAACTGTAAGATAAAACTTTAAACGGCTTTTATTTTGTGCACTTCAATACTTAAATGTTTAATTCCCTATTTTTGTCAATTTCTGCAAGTTCTTTTGCTGCCCTTACGGCAATCACACTGAAAACTAGATTCATTGGCTTTTTCTTACACTGCACTGGCTGCCTAAAAATACAAACGGCCTCATTGGTTACAATTTAGAGAGGTCAGTAAAAACAGTTTGTGGAGCTTATTTTACAAATATGAGTGATTACTGCATCTTGGAAAACAGAATGTAGGTGGAACTTGGGCATAATGTTCACCGTTTATATGTATGTGTTTCATGTTAGGGCAATTATTGCATTTCTCAGGATGAACATAAATCCAACTTCAGTTCCTTTATGCGGGTGTAAATAATTAAAAAGTGCATGGAAAAATAGTGATGGCCTAATTAAGAAAATGCTAAAACAATTTGATACGATTTGAGACTTGTAGTATTTAAGTCACATTTTTTTCTGTTCTCACTAAGCCCCCGTGCAGAAATATTTTGTTTCTATTGGAGGATTGGACACCTTAGCTCAAGTCCTCCTCAAGCTGATGCGTGATGATTCCTGTCTGAGTCACCCTAGCAGGAAGCTTGCAATAGTAGTGACAAAGACTCTGGATGCCTGCATTGCTAATGACTGTGAGTGGAAAGACTGCTGCCACTTTCATATCTGATAATTCTAAAATGCATTTTATTCAACTCTAGTTTGAGAATGTGGTATGAATGGATATAAAAGGCAATTAAGTATATCCAGATCCAGTTTGTATTGCAGAGTCTATCAAATTCAAGTTGCTAGTGGGAATGGTTCTGTTAATCTGAGGTGGGATAGTGAAATAAATATTAGAAAATTTACACTGAGAACAAAATTAAATTGCTGGTGCTAGTTGAACTGGAAATGTGGTAACCTTGGATCCTGGAGTTAGAGCTGTGCTTCTGCAGGCCTGTGTCTGTACTAAGAAGCTGCACAAGCTCAAGCACGGAGCGACATAAATGAGAAATGTGAATATAGTTCCTGTTGTGTCTGCAAAGCATCCTTACGTTGATTTACCATCTGAATGGTGATAGCTCAATGAGGTCTTTGTGTATTCCATCAGAAGGCTTTGTGAAATGAGTCTGAGTCAGAGTGGCCATGATTTAGTGTATTTCATGCTTCTATCTCAAGTGCTCTGACTAAAGTTTCAAAGACCTTAAGAGAATATACCTGCACTGGTTTTGGGCCTAGTTTACAAGAAGTTGGTATGTGACTGGATTAGGTTTCAGCATGCACATAGTAGCAGTGCTGTTCCCAGTTTCTAGTAAAGAGGGAACATCTTGCTGAAACATTCCTAGCTCCTTTTGTAGCAGTTCGGTTTTGGAACCAATGAAGGATGAGGAAAAACTCAGCAGAGGTGTACAAAACTTGCACATTGCAAAACTCTCATTTGTCAGATCGACCACATCTCTACTGAGTACAATTCAGAGGAAAGGGCAGTGCTGGTTATGAGGAATAGCACACATGGAATTACTGCACCAGCAGAGGTGTGGTAATTCAAACTGTTGAAATGAAAGTGAGACAGAAGTGGGACTGCTTTTGGAGGTCTGCTGACAGTGCCTTTGAACATCATATTTGAATGCTGCCTGTTTGTTTATTATCTGATAGATTTCTTTAAATTATTTTCAACATGATAGCTGCCATGGCTGTTGTTTTGGCGAAGTATCACACTGTGTCAGAACTGCTGAACCTACTGTCTAATGACACTCTGGATACGGGAGAAAAAATGAGTGTTATTCTAACAATTGGACACTGTACTGAAGTCTCTGGTAAGATTTTCTTCTTCTTTTTGACATATTTTTACTGAATTCTCATACATCAGCTACTTTAATGGTATCATTTCATCAAATTTGGTAACCTGAGGGAATATTCTATTAAATAATGTAATTTAATATTCAGAAAAGTTTACTTTCACCTCTAAACTTTAAGACCTGTTAACTCATAGTATGTTTGAGAAAAGTAAGCTATTATGTAAGAATTCAGAGCTGGTTTTAGGGATCACAGGGTAAAATTCATCTGAAAAATTCTACAATTCATTCAGACCAGAGGTCAAGAAATTCAAAGCATAATTCAAATATTTTAGACCACAACTAAATGGGTACAAATGTCTGGTGTGTGATTTGACTTAGTCCTTCGTCATGTTTCTTACAGCAGTTCTGAACTGTGATCAAAGCATCCGATGTGATGTAGAGTGCTTCTGCTGCAGCCTGGGTGACAAGATCATTACAGCATGCTTGTATTCTTAATAAGAATCTTTTACAATTAGTTGTTTTAGAATTTCCCTGGAGGTTACTGGTTTTTGTTTCTAAAACTGCTTGTCAGATTAAGCGTGTATGAGGTTGGAACGAACTGATTTTCATTATAACTTCCTATTTTAGAAGAAAACCAGTGTGAACTGCTCAAGAACAATGGTCTTCCACTTATGATTCAGGTACTAACTGAGTCTCAGGATGAGGAACTACACAAAGCTGCTACTTTTGTGCTGCAGAACTGCAAGCAAATGAGTAAGCTTACTGTTAGTGCTTGAAAAATCAGAGAGATGGTTTCTGTATTTAAGTTCTCTGAACTTTCTAGATTATTTTAAGTATAAAAGCTTTGTGTTCTTTGTACTCAAAGATATTTATTTTCTGCATGAAAGTTGTATGTTGCCACCATACAATAATTATTTTATAATTTTATTATAAATTATAAAATATTTGTTAAATAATTTTAATTTTGTTTTATACAGCTAAACAATTGTCCTTGAAAATAAATGAGAAGTCCCTAAGTGTGAAGAATGCAGAAGAGCTGGAGGTGGACATGCAAATCAGAGAAAGAAATCAACGAAACTACTGGAAGAAAGCAAAAGACATTCTGCACAGAATAAACTTGATTGAAAAAGAACATGAGGAGATTAGCACGTTTATGGAGGTAAGGTAAAACTACAGATTTTCTCAGTGTAAGGAGCTATAGGAAATAAACCATTAAGATAATTTCATTGTGAGCTAGGACATGAGAGAACATTGGATGTATGAGAAACTACAACCTGCAGCTTTTGCTGTTATTGCACATAATGCATACTTAGAAATACGAACTTAGAAGTGTGCAGTGCAATCAGGAAATGCAAGCATTTGTATTCTTGTGAGCTATTTTAGTTGATTGTAAAATCAGATTTTCTATGAAGTTGAGATCATTTAGGTTGGAAAAGCAACAGCTCGATTTTCTTGTAATTGCTGATCATTTTTATTTGTAATCTTAATATCTGCATGCTTGAAATGTCCATGATTGTACTGTTGTGACAGGATAGCTAATGGACAGATGTGATTACAGAATATAATATTGTTATCCCATATTTTCTTTGTGCCGTGTAACTACCATGGAACATGGTATTTTTGATTGTGGAGTAGCAATTTTTGTGTTACTTGGCTGGATCTTGAGGTAATCTTAGACTTTTCAAGTGATGTGTATTAGTAGCAAATTATTTCAGCCTGGTACTATGACTTAATAACTGCCCTTCAACTCTTTTGGTAGCTGTGCTGTTTTGTTGGCTCTCAATCAGTCAGGAGTTAAACTGATGTATTTTAGTTAATCTTGTTAATAGGTTTATTCAGCATTTTTAATAGAGCTTGTTTAGTCATTAACAAATGCTTTTCAATTAAGGAAGGAGTGGAAGGAAGACCGTTTGACAGGAGTTCATGGGATTTTGATGCTTCAGTGCTGGCTTCTGAAGTGAATCCCAGTGATACAAAAGCATGTCTAGAAAGAACGTGCAAAGAATTACGTGGTCCACAGTTAACTTCTAAGTTGGATGACGGAGTTCTTGCTCTAGCTGCAAATTCTTCTGCACTGACTGAGAATCCAGTGAATGCTTCTGCTAGAAAAAGTAAACAGAGTGATATTCCACGTTCAGTTTATGCAATGCAGTCAGACACTGCAATTCAAAGTCGTAGTGTAAATGAAAAAACAGCAGGTGAAAAAAGTCAGTCTGTTCTTCAGCTAAGGTAGGTATCTTGCATCAAACCAAAATTAGTAAGTTGCTCTTGATTATCATTTCCTAATTGAATGTCAGCCTTTTCAATTATTGCTTCCTAGCCTGGTCTTTTGCTACAAGTGAAAAGCTGTAAAGGTTTGTTGTCCAGCAGGAAAATATTCTATGCAAGTGTTTTTGACATCAGAAACCAAAGATTATAGAGTCCGTAGTACCATCATCTGTAAAGTCCTTTTTTCTCTTAATGATAGGATTCTGATGGTGAGTATGGAGAGCCTGTAACAGGCCACATTCCAATGCCTTAAGCCTAGTGGTGAAAAAGCATCCATAGATTGTGGCCTTCAAATTCTCACGTTTGATTAGATGAGGAATTGACCTGTTGGTGTGGATGAAACCAAAATACTTCTGTCATGTGCATTTACAAGGAGAACTGCAGTTACAGACCAGTTCTGCAAGAATTTGCATTTTAATGTCTGTGAATTAAGAAGAAAATTTTGGTTTTCTTATGCTTCTCTTCCTTCCTTGCTCTTCCTCCATTCCTCTGCTAAGTGGGAAGAAAAAGATGTGTACAGTTACTTTGCTGTTCTCTTGCTTTGCCCGCTTGTCTCACAGAATGCCTGCTTTCCTGTTTTCCTTCTCACGGTCATCTTTCTTACTGATAAAGAAAAAATTAATGACAATTTGCAAGAGTAATTGTGGTACCATGGCAACATGTTGGTTGCATAAAAGTAATTGCTACACTGTGTGCAAACTGTAGCATTCTGCCAACTGTGGAAGTTTAATGTGTACTAAAATGTGACATAAACCAGGATTGAAAATGACTCTGGAAACCAGCACTTGGAAAATGCTGTATTCCTGATGTGGGAGCAGGCGTGCTGAGCAGCACTGCAAGGAATGCTGATATCAGGCACTTGGTAATATGCTGCATGCTTCTTGCTATGTAACTTGTAACTTATGGGACAAATAGCATAGGTAATACATAGAATTGTTTTGTTTTTAGAATTTTCTTTGATTTTTGTTTAGTGTGGTTTTTGTTTTGTCTCCAAAATTTGTGTATTAATGTATAGTTAAATGTGTTTTAAAATTTGTTCACATTGTTAATCTTTGTAGGAAAAGCTTACTTCAACAACCAGGGAAGACTATTAAGCATATGAAATGGGCAGGCATACCAGGTACATGTAGCTAAATGTATTCTTATTTTTAGATAATTTTGTTCTTAACTTTTAATGCTTGCTTTTATCACTACTTTTTATCAGGTATAAAATCTAATTAGATGACAAAATACATTATGTATATTCTGTAACTGTTAGAGTAATTTTGGAATTCTATATTGCACACAATTTTACCAGGAGAGTTTGTTCTGCTTTTATTGTAATACTTTTTTTCCTTTCTTTTTTAACTATTCAAATGAATGTCTTACAGATAAATACTTAAAGTCAAGTCTGAACGCAACCTGTACTGAAAAGTATAAGCCCTTAATAGAAAATGTGCAGGGGAACTGCTTTTGTACTGTGCTTGTAAGAGCAAGGGTAGAACCTACCTGTGGGAGTGATTTCTGCCTGAAGCTCTCCATGCTGAATGCTTGTAGGATGAGGTTTTTCAGATTTGCACTGATCTTCTTTCTCTGGGGTATTTATTTCAGAATTAGGATCTGGTCAGTCAAATCCTTACTCGTAATGTAGTTTACCATTAATTTATAAAACCATTCATGAGTTTACTGTTTGCCAAAATGGCAGCTTTACAAGGCTCCAAGCTGATCTCCACGTACAGTTATTTAGATAGAGAAAAGCATTATTCCATTATATCACACTTTGAGCATCTGATTCTAAATATTGATAATGTTCATATGACTTCATTAAGCAGTGTAAGTTTACAGGTCTATTTCAGTCTGTTCAAGTTCAAGCGATGTGCTTCATTAGGAAATTAAATGTAATTATTCTGGATGTACGACAGTGTCAATGTGCCCATTGAACAGAAATGTCTAAAGTTAAAGTTTTCTGCTGTTATGCCAATTAAACTTTCCTAGTCATCTACTAATAGAAAATACAACTGAACATTGGTATGCTCATGTGTGATTTCCACAGAAAAAGATAGCTTGCATTTTCTTCCTAATGTTTTTTTCTTCCTACTTTAGACCAACATTCATTGTACTCAGAGATAACCAAGGAAGAAAAAATTAATTTGATTACAACTGCATCCCTTAAAATGACAGACTTGCTGTGTTTGGGTAAGTATCTCAGGTCTTTCTTTGCTAAGTTCAGAAAAGAAGAATTAAAGAACCAGCAATTCAGCAAGTAAACTTGGCATTACATAAATTACTTATTCTGTAATTTTATCTGCTTCCTTTCCTTTTTCTGCGTTTAAAATAAAACAAATGTTGACATAGAGCTAACCTATTCCAATTTTGTTTAATATGTCTTTCCTCAAGCTTAGAAGAGCATATTGTAGCTACAAGAATACTTAGGAGCAGCTGTTTTCTTTTTCTCTTTTTGGAAAGAAGGAGGGGAAAAAATGGAGCCCTGTTCAGTTTATTTTTGTATTCATCTAGCTAAGCCTCTAACTATTATGCAGTTCTTTTTTTTTCCTGCCTTACTGCTGTTGAGTGCAGACAATTCTGAGACGTGTAATGAAACTTGGACATTAACTGTAGATCACAGACAGCAAAATTCTGGATTTTACGATGACTACCATCCCTATTTTCTTCTAGGCTGTACAACAACAGGACTGTCTTTCAATAGCAGAACTTTTAGTAAGATGTTGCAAACTTGTCCATACCTGTGTGGCCGTCATAGAGTCATTCTGGAAGCTGAAGAAAGATATAAAAAGAAACTTCAGAAATCATGTGGCTCTAACAGAAGACATGCAGCTTATGAGAGTAATTTGTTTTTTACTAACTGTCCTAATTCTTTTAAACTGCATTTTGAGTTCCAGACTTGTTTAGCCTGATTCTGATCATGCTGCTCTTGTAAGCTCACTTGTTTTGTATGATTTACCAGTAATCCTGCCAAATGAGGTTGGAGCTAGTCACTTCTGTTTTGACTTGGTGTTTTTGAATCTTGTACTTGCAATGAAGATTCACCACTGCTTCAAGCAACGCTGCCAGAGTTTGTCAAATATTATTAATAGAAGAGAGTATATGAAGCTGAAATAAATGTGAATGGATGAACCTTGTAAGAAGCTTGTTTCATTCTAGTATAAACTGGCAAAGGATGTAAGAGGCCTATAGTTATTAATCATAATTTTAATTAAAAGTACATCTGCTATTTTATGGTTTGAAAGAGGCATTTGAAAACAAAAAACAAAAAACAGTTTTCTGGCATTTTTAATGGTGTCCCATTTGATCTTTCTAGAGATAGTGCTGACTCCAGTGAAGAAAGGAAAACTGCTAGTAGAGACATCTTTAAAGAGCAAACAGGATAATTTCCAAAGTAAGGCCTTAACTTGGAAGTTAGTGCAAAAAAACCACTTATTGTCTGAATAATTCTCTTCCAGGGCTTCACCACGAGAGCTTGTGGGTAGGAGTTATAATAAAGTTCTGTGGGTGCTGTCATAAAGCTGTCAGACAATGTATGTTCTATAATTGTGAAACTATTATACTACTTAACAATTAAGTTTTCTGGTACATTGTTGAATCCTGCTAGGATTTCTTTTGTGCCACCTGCTATTTTTTTGTTTTGTTTTGGTGCTTAAGGTGTGGAAAGGTAGTGGAATCAGAGCACAGTGCATCTGTCTGCTCTTGGATTCGACATAATTCTATTGTACCGTTATAGCTGTGTTATCCTATCATACCTGCTTTTGTTCCTTCTTGGAATTCTGACAGGCACTTGAGTTTCTATGTGCTACATAGCTAGATGTGTAAAACTTCAATTATGCAACAATACTGGAACAAGTGTCGGAAAAGTATCAGAAAGCAAACTATTAGAAAATTAAGTAAATAAGGTATTTTTTACCTGTCCTGCATTATGAGGGGTTGAGTAAGATGTTAATGACAAATGGAGATAGACAAGTGAGGATAAGTTCCGTCAGTTGCCCCTTTAAAAAAAAAAACAAAAACCAAAACCTGGTTATCTTGATAATGCACAACAACTGTTCATTTATAAATAGTGGAGTATGTATCTTTTGAAATACTCTGTAGCACAGTGAAAAGTAAGTTTATTAACTCTTTTCATTACTCTGCAGATATTATACGTCATTCACAAGGACTTTTCTTTAGAATCTGGTGATTCTGGGTACATGCAGAGCTTTGCCTACAATCATGAAATAATACGTTCATAGAGTAATAACCAGTACTGTCTCTTAGCATGGATGACTGGAAGTTGTAACACAGGCTAAAGCAGCTCTCTAAATCAGTACTTAAATTTTTGAATATTCATATTACTTTTTAAAAAAACAAAACAAAACAAACATTCCCATTTTGAAAAAATCAGCCCACCCATCAGGGATTCCTTTTTAGTGATCTCTTTCCAGAACTTCTGTTTACTTCATTATTTAATTTCTGGTAATGGCTAGTGGATGATTTGTATTTTTTTGAATCAGATTCAAAACCAACTAATTTGGCTATGATGCTCATGAGAATTTTAAAAAGCTTTTCTGAAAAGAACCGTTTATTTCATCTAAGAACCCATTGCACCAATATATTACTTCTAGCAATTAAACATTTTCTGAAGTTAATTGGATTTTTCAGTCTTTCCTCAAAAGCCAGGTGGTAACATGGCTCAGAAGATATTGTAAGTTTTAGTTCCTGAAATGTTACCTGTGTGTTGCTGCTCCGTTTTTTTGAAAGTAAAATACATAATGTTTTGTTGTTTTTAAGGTATTCTTTTGACTCCAATTAGAAAAAGCAAACCCAATACTTTGAATAGATATCAGCATAATAAAAATACTCGGTTATCTGAAGAATATAACTTGCAACCAACGTGTGAAAAATGTGAGTATCGCCAGAAAATTAGTTCTGTAACAAGAATAGCTGAAAGATCAGGTTTTACCTTTAGTTCAGGGCACTGAAAAAAGTGTCCGTGCTTGCTGCTTGGAGACAAATGGCTGAGGATTTTAATAGATATTCTTGTAACTTCAATCATAAGATTACTTAAGCTTATTTTAACTTAAATCCTATTGTTTTGCTACTTGCCTCCAGTACCTAACTAATTCAGACATGTTAATGCCAATAATGAGAAAAAGATCTAATGAGAAATAGATATTAGTAATAAGGCAACATGTGCGTATCCATGTTCATTAGAGGCAATGTTCCTTCCCAGCACAAGAGTCAGGCTTACAGTCGAGTTCAGTAAGTTCAAAGTGACCAAGGGTTGGCCTTCACAGTTTCATAGCCTTCCAAAAAAGGCAAGATGCAAACTTGGAGAGAAAGAGGGTGTGAAAGAAATGTGCAGCCATGAATGCCAACAGTTAAAAGAAAATTGTCTATGTTCACTTGATGAAGATGAGGTTACCTGTGTGCAGCCTTATACACTTGTCTTTATCTTTGTAAAATCACTGAAAACTGTGTAATTCCATTTGAAGTCACCTTTAACAGGAGCCCAATACCTAAGTGAACCATATTAAATACAGATCTTTCCCTGCTGATTCTACTGCAGTCATATGGCATATCCCTGAAACAAGTTAACTATTTTTCTATTGTTAGCTATTTTCAAATAATGGAACTTTCACAAGCAATGGAAATGGAAGTATGCTTATATCCTGAGCTTGTGAAAGTTGGCACAGTATAGAAATGGTACACACCTAAAAGAAATAGCTGTCCTGACTGGAAAACAAATACTGAGAGTGTAAGTTATGTAAGCGCAACAAAAATGCAGCATTTTTCTGTGACATTTACCTTTGAGTAAATGGGTGACAGTGAAGAAAAGGCTGAACATAGCATGTTTGAAAAATGTCATTGTATTGACGGTTTGCTGGCAACACAATTCTCAATTAGTTCTGAACAATAATGCATTCCTTCTAATGTGAAATACTACGTAAGTTGACATGATTTTTAATTACACCAAAATAAATACAGAACAGTGAGAAATGTTACCTGGATATAAACACAAGAGCTTTAAACAAGAGAAGAACCTGAAAAAATCTCACAGATGAAGAAATTAATGATATTTTAAAGAGAGTAAAATAAATGGGTAATCACTGGAATTTGATTTTTGTGGTGCTATGCATTTCACAAAGGATGAACAAATGCTTATCTTTCTGAGAAATACAACAGGTTACAAGTAAATGTCAAACTTCCTCATATCATATGCAAATCATATGCACTATCAGGTCATTTTTTGAGCTTTTGTTCCTGATTCGCTTGCAAAGAAACATGGGATGAAAAATTGGCAACCTGTGAGCTGATCTTTGTGCCATTTCACTGCTGTGCACACTGAGGTTTTGAATGGTCTCTGTAAACTAATCAGTTTTTATGCTAATGGAGAACTAAACTGGGAGGCATTAGAGTGGCACCTGATAGGGTACAAAGGGTTTCAGCTGAGGGCTGGATTAATACCCGTGTTTGCTAGGAAGTGGATATGTTCTTGGTTCAGTCAATTGGTGAGGGTCTGTGAGATTTTCTGTTGTAGTTTTTGCTTTGTTGCATGTGTATGCTTCTTACACAGAGGTGTGGTTTATGGATGGAGTAGGTAATGTTACTGCTGTACTCTCAGTAAATGTGGGGGGTTGGTGGCAACCATTTATACTCTGAAATCTTTTCTAAAAATTGTACTGTGTTTTGTGATAATGGTTGTCTTGATATTTTTATCTCCCATCTTGCAGGAACAAGAAAAACAAGGATCATCATCAAAGTCTTTCAAGAGAATTTTGGATTTTAATACATGAAGTTGAAGAGCAGCATTGTTAACAGTGAGGTACAGTTACTACAATTCCAACTTTTAGAGAATGAGTTTAGATGAGTTCAGACCCATGTTTTGCACTGCTAACATTCATAACAATTGTTATGCTTTGCAGATTTCAGTTAAACTGTAAGTTTTTCTAGCACCAATAAAGCTTTTACCAGTAAAAGTTACTTTTAGTTTTTAAAAATGTAAACTTCTTTGTAAACTTTTGATCGTGACAATTAATTTGGCTTTGTCTGAGCATTTTTAGTTTGCTTCATCCCATTTGCAAGAAAAGGCTTATTGCCAAAATGCTAGAAGCTGGAAAGAAGCAGTGTTCTGACTTCCTCTTCATCAGTGAAATTAGCAGCTGAAAGACTTTGTCATGGGTTTGGTGTGTATGGGAAATATAGGGTACACTGTCAGATGTGTAGGAGAGATGCAGCCAGATCAGCAATTCAAATTAATGGAAACGCTTGAGTGAGCGTGGAGGTGATAAAAAAAAAAACAAACAAACAACTTTCTAATGATATCGAAACATTTATGATACCAAGTACTGAATTGGAGAATGCAATTTGTTACTCAAGTAATCTACATACTAGTGGAATTTCTGTACACAAGATTGGGTACTTTTAGAGAGGACAGTGGTAGAACAATCTTTTCTATTCTTATCTGCAAATAATTTTGTGTGAGACAAGATATATCTGTGGCAGAAAACACTAAAGGTATGTTTGAAAACTGCTCAGTATAGTGGATGAATCTTAAATGGGTACAAGTAAATGATAATGCAGGGCTTGTGAAAATGGCAGAACTTAAAGGTGGAACATTTAGTATGTGGTTTATTTGCAGTATTTCTTGACTAGTTTAGATGACTTGGATGATATTTGTGGACCTACATAAAATACTGCAGCTGTGAATGACGCACAGTGTAACTACTGGTAAATTTGATTTCATTTTATGGTGGGACTTCTTTGCTTGTTGTTCAAGTTGGTGAGCAGAACCACTGTTTCTGTTAAGTTCATAATATTTACTTAATCTTTTGGGAAAGCCTTTGTGACTTGTTTTTCTTTTTTTCCATGATAGCCTTATTATTTGAATTCTGTTAGTATAGAATGGCAAAAATGTAGTTACTTTGCTGTGGGCTTCCACAGCGATGTAGCTCAAGTGCTTAAAAACAAACCTGAAGAGGAAGCATCAGATGATGCTAATATAATAAATACGTCTTTTAATGGTTTTCATCTTTGGCACTTCCTTTTTCTTACTCAAATGCTCAGGCAGCGGTAAAAATGCCTCGAGTCTGTCTTGTCCATCCTCTTTACTCGAGCTGTGCAAGAAGGGGGCTGTGAACGTCCCCTTAGGTCTGATGAGTCGCGTTCTGGAACACGCTGCTTCCGTGCCGCACAGCGGGCGGAGCGGAGTCGCGCCGTGTCCGCCGCCACCAGGGGGCGCCGCAGCGTCCGCCCCGCTCGCAGAACGGCACCGCCCAGAGCGGGGGGCGCTGCCGGGGCTGCCCGGGCGCCGCCTGATCGGAACGCGGCGCGGCTGAGAGCGGCTGACGGCAGCCGGGGGCGGGGCGCGGCGGGGCGGCGGCGAACGGCTGCGGGGCCGGGAGCGCGGCGGGGTGGCCGCGCGGGCGGGCCGGGGAGAGGGAGGAGCGGGGTCCTCGGCGGGCCCGGGTGAGGTCACTCTTTGTGGCGGCGGTTGGCAAGATGGCGCCGGTGCCGGTGGAGAAGAAGCTGCTGGGGCCAGACGGGCCCGGCGGCGCCGATCTCCCCAGCGAGGAGGAAGAAGGGCAGAACCTGTGGTGAGCGGCCGGGCCGGGGGGACGCGCCTTCCGGGCCCGCGGGCCGAGCTGCGCCGCGCTGCTGGGCGTCCCGCTCTGTCACGGTGGGGCAGCCTGCCTCGCGGGGCCGCCTTCGCTCCACCTGCGGCCGGGGGCTGGCGCGGGCCTCTTCGGGCCCGGGTCGAGCGAGTACCCCGCTCCGATGCGGCAGGGCCTTGAGGCGGCCGCGCTCGGGCCCGGCGGGCGGGGTGCGGCGGGGAGCAGCGGCAGGGCTGTGGCCGCGTCGCTGTGGCGGCGGCGTGCGGGGCCGGAGCGGCTCTTACCGCGCGGGGACTGCAGGGATTGGGTCTGGGAGGCTGCGGTGCTCGTTCTTAGGCGCTTATCTCTTGAAAACAGCGGTAACGGAAGAAAAATGTGTGAGCGAAATGCGGTAATGGATTGTGGGAAGAGTTAGTCATCAATTGGAAAGTAATGCATTGCAGTGACGTGACTGCTGCTAGGGAAGAAAAACTTCACTGCCTGTGCTCTAGGGATCGTAAAACTGTCCCTGCAAAGGTGGCTTATTTCTGGAAACGTTGGAAAGAGAAATGAACTCAAATTCTTACCTGTTTCATACCTGGTTTGTGAACAGGGTGAGTGTACCCCAGCCCGTGTGGGCTGTGGAACTCAGGGTGCTGTCAGGGAGCGTTGCGTGTCCGGGCTGTGTGTAGGAGCTGTGTGTCCCTGCTGATGGCCTGACCGCACCTTCTGCCTTTCCAGGTCATCGATACTGAGCGAGGTTTCCACTCGGTCGAGATCTAAACTGCCCTCTGGCAAGAATATTCTTGTTTTTGGTAAGTAGCAGATGCAGGAACGCGGCCCGTCTGCTTTCTGTAGAGGCAAAACACGTTGAGAACAATGATGTGAACACACTGACGCATCAGTTGGATAAAATTAGCTCCTGTAAAGTGATCTGTGGTGTTCTTTTCTCTAGGCTGGCAGTTTTACTTTCTTTTTGGCTTATGCTGTTAACTTATAATGTGTAATTAGATAAATGGGGGGTAGTGATAGACAGTGGAGTGCTTCTTTCTTATTTCTGTGGTATAAAGCATTGGATTCAGCTGGCATACTTGGAAGAAAACCCAGCAGTTTTTTCCCATAATCAATAAATACACAAGAAGACTTTTCGTTTCCAGTTGTGTTTTGAAATTCCATTCAAGTTAATTCTGAAACTGTCTTTTTCTTTCCTGTAAAAACTTACTGGCAGGTGATGATGGCTCAGGTAAAACCACGCTTATGGCTAAAATACAGGGAGCGGAATATGGCAAAAAGGGAAGAGGACTGGAATACTTATATCTAAATATTCACGATGAAGACAGAGATGGTAAGGTCATCTTATATGTAATCTGTTTATGTGATTAAGTAGCTGACGTTTTTATGTAATTCTGGCTTCAACTTTGGGTTACACCCAAGTAGCTAGTTCCAATGTTGTTGTGTATGTTCTGTAAGGTATATTGATTTCTTAAGTGAAGGGCATTTTATGTTCAGATTTGATCTATTTCTTGCCTGTTTTATAGCTTCACCTGTGAATGAGGTAGAAGTGTGCTTGACCTATTGGTGTAGCTCAGGATTCAATTAATTTCAAGATAAATAAGTCTGCTGGTGTTGAGTTACAAGGAGATTATTTTCATTTAGTAGGACTGCCTTACAGCTACAAAAAGGTGGTGGTGATACATCATCAAAATTTTATTTGGATATCAGATCAAAATTTAATATGAATTTTGGGATTTAAGGTTTTCTTGATTTCTTGAGCGGTGTGTGGAATTTTGATGAACTGTAGCTGAGCCATTTTGTTGGAGTTGAATGAGTAAAGAACAGAACATGAAGTCAGAATTAGTGTTTCTCAAATTGCGGGTTTTCTCACTTGTCCCTTTTTGTTGCTGTTGGTGATGACGATGTTCAGAAAAGCAAGAGACTGGTCTAATGGTGAGAATATCACTAATCTCATTTCATCTATTCTGCTGAAGGTTAGAGACAGGAAGAGGTGAAGAGTGAGCTCGTTGTTCTTGCTCCTAAATCTGCCTGTGTCGTTTGGGCAAACTACTGAACCTCTTTGTGCTAGTTTTCCTCCCCCAAGACTGGAATGGTGGTCTTCCTGTATATGACCTTCTGAGTTTAAAATGGGAAGAAGGAAGCAGTGATGGTGGTTTAACTATGTTTCTGAAAAAAAGATGAACTGGGAAGATCCTGGCGTGGCATTTTGGAAATGGAAATGTACTGAAAGGTTTGCATGAGTTATTAAGTACTGTATGCATCTGGTTGTTATGGAGATTGGTCCTGTGCTCATGTGGTGATAAACTGCCTTTAGATAGTAGATTCGGCACAGCTTGTGTATGAGCGCACTGCCTGTGTCATCAGTGGGTGCCTGATCTTACAGTTCCTAAAAATGTTCTGTGGTGTAAGTTTCAGCATTGAGGCCATTCCTTACTGCTTGAGGTTCTTCACGTATGTGCTTCCTCACTGTGTATCATCGTGTTCAGTACTGTGTAAATAGATCAGAGTGAAGAAACCCTAGGGCTGTTAAGATACTGTGTGATATGGAGCTTAGGGCAGCTACAAAGGAGATGGTATTATAAGCAGATGTAACATGACATAAGTTAGATGTGATGTTCTTAGTGGTGCTGTTAAGCTTCAAGTATGTCCCTACTCTGGAAGTATTTGTGGGCTATTCCTGAAAGTGATAAGTATTTGTGGTGGTTAGGAGAGGCTTGTTGTAAGAGCTCTGGCAGTGTGTAGCAGGAGAAAATCAGACCTTTTTGACTAGCTGACTCAGCTGGATAATTCAGGTCTTCGTGCATCCCTTCAGTAGATGTGATAGGATCTAATAATATCTGTATCTTTCCTTTTTGTCTTGTTAGCGTCATCAGCAAGCTAAATAAATAGCAAAGTGGGTCAGGACCTCCTGACAGACGAAGTTAACGCTCTGATTTCTCCAGTACATGCTCTGTTTTGTTTTTTTAACTCTTCACATGCTTTAGGTGTGTACGTATTTGGATACAATTTTGGGAACTAAACCTTTGCAACTGTCCCACAGTTCTTGGAAGCCATGAAGAAACAAGAGATAGGTGGTCAGAAGCTATCTGCTGTATATTCATTTTTGAGCATATCTGCTTTTTACTGTATTCTGATCTACTTGAGACTAGCAAACCACATGGATTTATTTCCAGAGGTGTCAAATCAACACTGATAACTGAACCTCTGCGTCAGGGTGAAGAAGGTCTTGTCAGCTTCTTTCTCAAGTGCTGGGAGATGACTTTTCCCTTTTTTTGCTTTTTGGAAGAGTTTATTATTTCCATGAAGAATATTTTCATCATAGTGCCGAGTCATTATCCACTTCCCACCTCGCTTTGCAAATCTTAAGGAAATCTT